AATACACAATATGACAATATTCCGACATAAGTAGTAATAGATTTTTTTTAATTACCAGTTTATACATTTAAATTTTACGAAGGAGACGCATTTAAATCATTAAGTAATAAATTCGAATATCTCATTTTTGTAATCTCCATAGCTTCCAGCAAATTCGGTTTTTTGCTTTTTGTGTGATTATGTAAAATATCAAAATTATCGTCAAAGTGGTGCGTTGAAATTTAAATGAATATCATAGTTAAAATCCGAACTTTTATTTTTATACGGCCTTTTAGTTGTATTGTTTTTTAAAAAATGTCCTACAGTCTTTTCAGTTTTAAAAGCAATATTAAGATTAGTTTCAAGCAACGGAAATTGCTCGACTCAGCGCAACTCCTCCGTGGCGTTGGAGTAGCAGCGATTCTGTCACAGGTCAGCGTTCTTGGTATTTTCGTAAGATTTACAGCGTAGAGGTTCAGAGATCGTTATGTACACAGGTGCGTCGTTTTCGTAGGTAAACATCGGCTTTGCCTTGCCACGCTTTATGGTTATGTGAACCTGTACCATTTGCAGGTCGGCTTTGATTTTATTGTGTTCCCTCCTTCAAGTTTTGATTCGTGAATCGAATGGGGGTTACTAGGAAAGTTGAAATAATTTGTAGATAACTCTCTACTGTTACATTTGGATATTGCTCCCGTATTTCCGAAGTTTGCCCTATGAATTGAATTCATTTTTCTAAATAAAGTAAATAAAAATAAGCCTAAATTTGTAAGGTAGAAAATTAAAAACCGTTAAGTATTAAAAAAATACAATTTTTGTATTAAAAACTCTCCGTTGCTGCATTTATTATTGTTGTATTGTTTATTAGATATTTATTATTTAACAATGAAAGACATTGTTTAAATAGCTTTTTTATAGAAATTTATATACAAAATATACATCGGTTGACATCTTGCTTGGAAAGGCTCCAAAATGTTCAGCAAAAAAATATTTTTAGTCATTATTTAAATCAAAACTAACCAAAAGATTAACTGAACTAACTGAACTAACACAATTATTTTAGAACAACAAAATTTCAGATTTGCACAGTTACTTAGTCATAGACTGTGAAAATCTGACTTTTTTTTGTTATTATTTAATTGTACAAAAGTTTAAAATATCGATCTCTGCTCGGAAGCGTTACTAATGGGCATATATTTAATAAAATATAAACAACAAAAGTTCTTTTTTTTTCTTATTTTTTATTTAAATGGTAAAACTTTTGCAAGAATTTGCAGAACAATCGGAAGAGTTTTTAATTTTGTCTAGTATTTTTACACTTTTACTGCTTTTTGAAATCCTTTTTTTAATGTATTCAGTGTAGGTTATCGTACATCAAAAAATGCAAATATAATTATAAATTATTTTATTATTTTTAAGTATTAAGTATTAAAAATTATTTAGTTTTTATTTCGCATGAATACTTTGGAATAATCTATATCATATTATTAATTTAAATTAAATTTAGTGTGGACGATACAATCAAAAACATTTTTACCAAAATCTTCCCGGAATACTATCGACCAGTATCATTTATAAATACGTATAAAATTTTCAGAAAACATATATGTATCGAAATTAACAAAAAATGAAAATATTATTATTAAAATATTTATTATATGTTATTATATATAATTATTTTAAATAAAGTTATAACTATTTCTTTATAAATTAATTAAATTCTAATAAAAGTTTTTTTTCATAGAATTACACATTGATACTTAAATAGCAAATTGCAAAACACAAAAAACTTAACAGTAACTTTATAATACAATTAATAATACATTTGCAATTATAAAAACATTTTATAACTGAACGTTTTTCAAAATTTGGCGAAAATTGTGTCTTTTATGTGTAAACATATGTTTAAAAATGGAAAAACTTCGTTCAACATTTACAAAAGTTATCTGACAGAATTTTAGTTTTAAAATTAAGTGTTGTTCTGAATTAAACAAATTCCGTTCTCTTACAAAATTAGTGAAATTGCCCATAAAAACCAAAAAAAAATTTTTTTTTTCAGGATTTTGAAGCCTTTCAACTTTTTTGCAATCTTCCAAAATAACAATTTCGTGTGGGCTAATAATTAATTAGTTAAAAATACGAATTTTAAAAAATCTTTCCTACTTCTATCAAATATAATATTTGAGTAGTAAAAACTGTCAACACTGCAAGTAATGTGCTTATATACCCAATTTATAAAAGCGGCAATCTTATTATTTTTTTGCTATAAAATAATGGGTAGAAAAATTTTATAAATACTTTGAAATTGTTAACGTAAACTACCAATACGGTGCTTGAATACGTAATTTATATAACATAAAACATTTACTTTTTTTAATACATGCTCAAAAAAAAAACTGAAAAATTGGTATATACGTTTCGAACAAGCTGTACAAAAGAAATCCGTGCCATCCCAAGTAAACTCTCGATAGTTCTTTATCCACCACATATGGAAGTTATTTTTTGGCATTTTAACAAACACAATTATTGGAAAATGCGTTTTACATATTCTCTTCTCATTATCTAAAAATAATTGTAAATTTCAAAGTAATTTATAAAGCACACATACACAAATATAATTGTGTGATATTGCATATGAGTTGTTGCCTTAAGCAATATTTTTGTAAATTTACAAACAAAAATAACAAAAACAGCAAATCATAATTTTCCATGATTTGCAATGGAAAGAAGTAGTGTCTTTATTACTTTGCGTATTCGGTTTCTCGATGGCGTAAATGAAGTCAGTGATCGCCACGGACTGGAAATGGAAAATGGAAATCTTTCCATAGGACTGACGGAAATGGATGCTTAAATTTTAGTGTTTCCCTGTTAGTTATTTGGAATTACTGCAGCTCATGCAGGAATAAAACATGCGAACCTGGCAGAAAAAGAGATTCATCAGTGGAAATGTTTCAATTTGCCGTTTCCAAGGTGAAGATTGCTGCTATGTTGGTCGTCAAACTAAAAACCTAGGAGATGGTACAAGAAGCGGAGAAGGAACGCTAATGCAAATCTGATAATACAAAAAGAAATCTCAAAAAGAGGCAAAAACCCTTTCAACTAAGCAATTGCTTCATTTTCAATTTACCTTTGTTTTGGAGTTTAGGTTAATTGTATCCTGACATGACATACACAAAAACACACATTACGAAACAAAACAATAATAAATATAAACGGTGTTCTGTTTTACGGAGCTGGCAGAAGAAGAGGTTGATTGCCGTTTTGGCCGCCAACATCCGAAGGTAAAAGAAGAAGAAGCTTCGGTTTTTATTGGTGCCGTAAAACCGAGTTTTTATAATAACACCAGAGGCGATCGACAAGCGCTGCCTTTTTTTAACGCCCAAGCTCGCGATAAAGCAATTATAAAGTAATTTTAATTGCGATCGGCTCGCGGAATTAGTTTCGCAAGTTTATTACCATTTTTACGCCGCAGTTTATAATATGCAACCTGTTAGGCCTCGGAAAGTCGCGACGCTTTTTAATTAATAAGCTTGAGGAAAACTCGTATGTACCGGGCGGACAAATTTTGATATTTCCAGTGGTCTGTTTTATTTTTAATTGGCTATGAAAGGGTTCAAGATACAAGATATTTTTAATTTTTTCACCAAAAATAGTGTTTTTTAAACAAGAAACAAAAGATATATATATATATATATATATATATATATATATATATATATATATATATATATATATATATATATATATATATATATGTATATATAAGTTCTAAGGAAAATGACCGATTATTTGAAACATTAAATGTATTCTTAAATATTTATATAAAATATTACAGAACGCATATGTGTATTGTTAATTTTCAAGAAAAAAAAGCAGTCCCTTCAATTTCGCTATATAGAGTTTCGACTGTATTTTTATTATATTCTGCGACAAAATTTTCATTTTGGCTAATTATTTACTATCGTCCAAATCCTGTTTGTTTCTAACAAATTAAACTGGAACATTTATCTAGCAAATCGACCATCAAATGTGTTCGTGTAGTCAAACTACATCGATATCATCTAATGAGTTTATAAACGCGTCTAATGCATTAAATGGTAGTTAAACTCACACACGATGCGTCGAAAAACCAGTTCCCCGTAAGACGTATCCGATACCGATATACACTATTATTGTTAATATCAGTAATGAACGTGTTTTGGTCTACGATTATTTTTAATTAAAACTAACCAAAACTAAACTTAATGACAATAAAAATATTATTCTGACGATTCACACACTCCGAATTTAGCCATTAGCAATCATTACTTAGATCCGACTAGTTCTGTTATGATTTCATACCTGCGACAAGTAATATAAAGATGATAAACACAGTATTTTACACATAGCTAACACAACATTCACAAATCACTTAGCAAGTTGTCAAATCACCACTGAATACAGAGATGAAATGTCACAAAGGGTAACACGCGATCACAGAACATGAAAGCGAAATGTACCACAGACCACGTAAATAAAGCTGGTCCACTTGTCTTTGGATAATCGCGGTTCTACTTAAACTTCAAAAATAAACAAAAATCTTTTGTTGCCATGGGTTTTTCAATAGGTATCATTCCCGTAAACTTAACTCCATATCAACCAAAGGCCATGCAATAATAATCAATTAACGGCCAATAATAAAACCGTATAAAACAGATGTTTATATGCGCTGCGTTGAAACGACAATTTTTTGCAATAATTTGTAATGCTAATTTTATTAGTCGGAAGATAAGGGAAATTTAAAATACGGTTTGTAAGAGACATTTCCTGTGATGACATCGAGTAGGAAGAACGACAGATTATGAAATATCTTTCTATCGGAATTTCTGTGGGTTGATGTAACCAGCTTCGGACATAAGCGTTTTGAACGATATACAATTACTCGCATGGATGGGCTTATAATTGGATCGCATTCGGTCCGCCATTTGTTTAATTTTGACAGTGAATTTTAGCCGCTAATTGTTTTTTCCTTTTTGTTTCAGAGATCCTTTACTCTCATTCTGCAGGCTGTGGACCATAATAATTTTTCTATTCCTGGTAAGTATATTTTTGATGTTTCCCATTTCTCGAAAATTACGCGTTACTAAAGTCATGTTAAATATATAATTTTTTATTACAATCAGTGACTCGCCGCCTTCCGTTACACGTACAGGTCGGCTGATTTCACGAACCGGCCTGTTGGTCTAGGGGTATGATTCTCGCTTCGGGTGCGAGAGGTCCCGGGTTCAAATCCCGGACAGGCCCATCCTTTTTTTTAATGGGTTTTATCTGCTATAATTCAATAATAAAATTTTTGTTTTGCGGTTTTTAAGTGACTGTTTTTTAAAATCACATCTTGTTGATTTTTAATAATGCTTGCAATATTTTAAACTCCTTTTTCTTCCATCTTCGAACAATGCTAATATTAGAAATAATGGCTTTATCGTATTTTTTTTTGCAAGTGTGATAACAATTTTTTTTTTCGAAGAATTAAAATATTGGAAAAACTAAATTAAATCAGTTAAATTAATTCGTTGCGCCTTGATAACAGATGGCGCTAGTGCCATAGATTTTTTTGTACCTATCGCAGTAATTTCACATAAAAACAGCTGTTATTTGACGCCATACATAATTGCTTTTCAGAACAAAAACAACAACTATTTGTGATTTTTTTGCGGAGCATTTTGTTCCGTTATTTTAAAATGGGTAGACGTGTTGCAAAAAGTCATCATGTTTCTGTAGATGTTTATGATGAACATGCACCAGCTGAGCAAACGTGTAGAAAATTGTTTGCCCTTTTTGACAGTGGTCATTTTCATTTAGAAGACTGAGATCGACTTGGACAGCCCAAAAAAATCGAAGATAAAGACCTAGAAAAATTGTTAAGATGAAGAATGAAATGAAACATTTTAAAAAATTAAGGATGATGGGTCTCATATGAATTAAAGCCAAGAGAGAAAAGCGATATATGATTTGTGATTGATTACGACAATCCTGAACGAAGAAAGTCTTGTGTGAGGCCCGTGAAGAGGAAAAAATGTCCACTTTCTGTCTGCTTTTCGTGGAATCAACTGGTTGTGATTTATTACGAGCTGTTAAAATCAAATCGGCTACAATTGATGAAGCCCATTTTATTACAGATGTGGTACCGAGTGATTACCATGTGTTCGAATCACTGGTTCATGGACTATCGTAGCAAAAGTTCGCCGGTTATGAAGATTGCGAAAAATTGGTGGGTTCATGGATGGCATCTAAAAACCAGCAGTTTTTCAGATTCAGAAAAATGTGAATAAAAAAAAAATAATGTAAAGGTTGAAAAATTCCAAAATATACATTTATAAAGTGTATGTTTTATTCGTCACTCTTTGTGAGCCACCCTGTATGCTTAAAAATAATTTTAAATGGTATAGTCTGTCTCAATCTTCATCCGGCGGAATAAAACTCGGGTCGGACTCTCAAAGATTCTGGTAATAATATAAATTATAATAAGAAAAAACCCCACAGCCAAGAATATTTATATTTTTATTGTAAACGTCCAAATCTAATTCTGTTATATCAAAATGATTGATGTCTTTTTTTGAATTTGGGGCTTCCAAAAGTTGCGCATTTCTGTTATTGAATTCAAAATAAATATAATTTTCAAACAAATATTCTTGGTTAATCGACAGGCACACGGGAAAAAAATGATTATTTTCAAACTTACCTGTAAGAAAAATAGAGTACAGGTACTTACCCTTACCCTCACAGGGTCAAAGCTTGGGAATCAGGTACATAAATACGTACTTACTGGAAGGATCACAGTCAAATATCTCCGTAACGAACATATTGCAATTTAAATTAAACTCTTAAGATACAAAAGGAATTGGAGGCGGCTATGGAGGAGATCGTGATGGATGAGGACAATAACAATGAAAATCGTGACGCGGTCTATAGTCCACCCGACGTGGATACCTTGACTGACGTAGAAGATATGAACGATAACATAAATCTACAAGAGTTTGGGGAACCAACTAATATAGTTGACCAACTGATATAGTTGAAACTTTCGAGTTACATACACCGAATGATACAGCTGTCCTTCAACAGTCCTGTAATTCATCAACTACTGAACCTGAATGGGAATAGCACCAGTATTTTTTGTATGGTTCGAGTTTTTTTTTGATGCATGTAATGTATTCTTAAGTGCAACAAAATAAATAATTTCATAGCAAAAAAATATTTTTTTATTTTTTTTATGCTTGCTATAATATATAAACAATAATAATATACATTTTCTCATAACAATGTGATAATGAACTTTACTCTATCGTCGATTTGTTTCTTATGGCAAAGCCGGAAGCGTCATGTGCGGGACTGGACAAAACGCCCCGCACATTTTCCGTGGGCAAAAATCCGCGCTTACAAGCCGAGGGAATTCGCGAAATATGCGGCCATTTAAATAAAATTACCCTCCGGTGTCGGTTAAACGGTTTTAACGCCTGTGTGTGTGTGTGTGTGTGTGTGTCGAAAGCATACAAAACGCCCGTTGTGTTTAGATTTGCAAATCACGACGTTCCCGCGCGGTGGTGGGCGTCTCCGCCGCCTTGACATTCGTTAATAAGTACTTCGAGTGTATTTTATCCCATTTTAAAATCGTTTACGAGAGTGCTTATATATTGACTGTTCGTCGAGAGAGGTCCCCTTCCTACGCGCGCACTTTGCCGACCGCGTAATTTGAGTGCGCGTCCAATTATTTCCGAGTGTTTGTTTGCGCCGCGAGATTTGCATTTCGCGTGTGAATTATGATATCAAATGACAAAACAATTATCGCGGATCCGGAGACTTCGTTAGGCGACGCTGGAGAATTGAGAATGACGTTGGTGGTATAATACGAACAAAAATATAGTGCGTCCCTTCGCGGGACCGTGGTAAAAACCATCCCGACAGATAGTTATTCTGAAATTTTCATTTGAAACGTAAATGGACCGTTTTAAATTTGATTAAGCGTTTTTTTTTTCAAAGAAACTTCCACGGGCTACTGTAATACTTTTTATAAAACTTCTGGTTCCTCCTGCGTCGGTTTTTGCAAATAAAAAAAAATTGTTTTCAATGTTTACCATATCATTAAAAATTCAGAAGGAGAAGTAGGAGCAGCAATAAAACCATGTGACATGACCAAAGTTCCGAAGTCAACTGTACGAAAAATTGTTGCAAATGGAAGTGAGGGAACCTACGACGCTTATAATGTCTTCAAACCCAATCAAATATGACAAACAAATAATTCATGACAAAATTACCTTACCAACAACAATCACCCCCGAATTTTACCGCAGAGACATGTCCCGTCATCGAAGAAATCTACTCTTGTAAAGGAAAAACTCACCCCCGTGAAGAACTTATTTGACCACATCGGAATGGACCATTGTGATGTGGTCAAATAAGAACAATTATAGAACAACAATTAAGTGCACTGATCAAGATACCAGTAAACTGTCAAATAGAAATTTATGAAGAAAAATTCTTCAACGATGTAAAAATCCACTTCGGAAAACCAATATTTTCACCAAAAATCCAATTGACGGAAGCGAACGCAATGAAAGTCCCGGATACCCCCAGTCTTTCGAAAATAAATATTGACGAAATGTACCAGCTAAGAGACATAGCAGAAAAAATAACTCCCATGGAACCAGTGAAAGAAGAGACAAATACGTTCCGAATAATTGTTATTGTTCTTGTAAATAATCGTGGTTCTAATTTTAGTTTTCATCATTGAGAAGCCCTTCTCGGAAAAGGGACTAAAATCGAAGAAAACCGCATCCAAACCAGAGGAAACCTGCCAAGAAAAAAATGTTGAAGCTTTTTCGAAAAAAACGTTCCGTTATTTTTGAATGTTAAGGAGGGAGGAGTTATATACCCCAAGTAGCAAACGAAGCCCAAAACTAAGCGATGATAACACCTAATACCATAATATGGATGGTGTTCTAGCCCTAGAAGAACTGCATAAAAAAGTACTGACAGACGTTAGTTGTTCCAAAGAATCGTTTTATACTTAACGAAAATGGATTTTCAGTTCCAAACAATTAATAAACGTCAAGTGCTAATGGAATCTCACAGATTTTCGCAATGGATAGTGGATTATTTAAATGCCAATAGTGTAGACTCGACACTCACGACACAGTAAAAATAGAATGGTGTGATAACAGTAACAAGTGTGTACTAGACGTGCCGCCTTCACATGGAAAAATAATATTTTTTGAAGGGTGAAATACCATTAAAACATGACTGCTGAAATATTTGAGGAGAGCGGTACATAAATTTATATCACATTTTCAAGTAAATCCAAAATGGTAAAAAAAAATATTTTGGATTTGTATTGCCATTTTTGCTAAGTTTATAGCATATACATTGTAAATACTATATTGATTATGTTTTATTTTTTGAAAATATTTACTGGTGCGTGAATGCACTACTGGTTTTATCTGTGAGACAAAACTTTGTTATTGCAAGTCTAGACAAGTCAGTGCATTTAGAATAAACATCCCGGAATTAGCGTGTTCTTTAGTATTAGTTTGTGCCTTGTGCAGTGAACGTTACAGTTCGTAAAATATGACATTTCCGAGGTATTTGGCTCAAAAGGATTTAGAGGCGGCTATGGAGGAGATCGTGATGGATTAGGACAATAACAATGAAAATCGTGACGCGGTCTATAGTCCACCCGACGTGGATATCTTGACTGACGAAGAAGATGTGAACGATAACATAAATCTACAAGAGTTTGCGGAACCAACTGATATAGTTGAAACTGTCGAGTTACATACACCGAATGATACAGCTGTCCTTCAACAGTCCTGTAATTCATCAACTACTGAACCTGAATGAGAATGGCACCAGTATTTTTTTGTATGTTTCGAGTTTTTTTTTTGACACATGTAATGTATTCTTAAGTGCAACAAAATAAATAATTTCAGAGCGAACAAGTATTTTTTTTTGATGCTTTTGATAATATAGGTTAAAGAATTTCTATACGAAAATGATTTATATTTTGAAGAGAAAAACACGAAAAAACATCTTCTGGAATT